GGAACTGGCACTTTTTTTTTTTACTATTTTGCATAAACAAATAAAAATATGCATGTCTTCAAACTAAGGATAAACCTGCTGCATCTCTAGACAAACAGCAACACTACTGATGTTCACTTGGATGGTACAAAACTAATTAACAACAGATTGTTTAACATCAATATGTGGAGGTAAGGAGAATATAGCAAATGCATTAAATAACAGTCTAGGCTGCGGATATGAAAGTAGTGGCCCCCATTAGGCAAACTCGGGAAAAAACAAAAGTTTATTCTGGTGGGCTTAGGCAATAATTAACAAGAAAAAACAACAACAACAAAAAGCTTAACAAAATAAAACAACAGCAGAGAAATAGATTTGTCAATTTCCAGACACTAAAAGCAAAGTTTAATCAGAGGAATCTAACATTAGCTGCATATCATTTAGGTCCTATAAAGGGATTTGAGGGCGCCTCTGCAGACCTACTGGAGTTCCCCATAGATCGCACCGTACTGAGGGAGTGGAGCAGAACCTGTAGGAATGTGTCATACATCATGAAAATGGATTATTGAGTAAATTTATTTAGTCTCAGATTCATATATCTGATTATTACTGGTTATCAGAATGTTATTGTACTATTTTTTCTGCTGCTGACTCCATAATGTCATCAGCATAATTACATTCAGAAATATGGTTAAATGCAATGTGCGTTGTTCAGCTAAATAAAAAGATATATATATCGAATTTCTGCTTCTAATGGGTCTTTGGAAGAAGGTAGAAATTGGGATAATTTTTATGCAGCCACAAAAAACAAAAATATTATTTTAATAAATATCATTAATAAATCTTAAAATCCATATTGCTCCTGGTTTAAAACCTAGTCATATTAGGTACTGGCCGACTGTCTGAAGGGACAGGGGAGCGTTATTGCTAGAGGTAAATTATGTATTGAAGAGCAGTGTTTGCAATATTATTATCACCAAGGATTTCATGGATGCATACTTTGTAAGGCCTACAAATTCAACTTTTATCCATTCCTGCTCTGGATATCTAGATCATATTCTGATGAACAGGCTCCAACCTCAATTTATCCACCAGGGACTACAGCCTATGGAGGGATGTGGAAATGGCACATAATGAGAAAGACAGAGAAGTGTCTAGAAAATCAGGATTATGTCATTATAAAAAAAATTATACCAAAAAAATAAATAAAGAAAAATAAAAACCTTAAGAGGCAAAACTTGCCATGTTTCTAACCTGTTACGGACGGAGGAAACCAAAATAATTGCGTTATAAGGCCTTCACTGACATTCATCTGATTTATTGAGGCAGAAATGCAACATAACTTGTTCTGAAATGCTCTAATTTGGAGTTAAAAGCAAATTTAACAGTCACAACCAAAAGGCCACGTTTCCTACACACACCTAATGTCATTTATCATGAGGGTCTGGGACTAAATGCCATCCAGTCTTTTTCATGACTGAGAGCAGATATGTGATTAGAGGAGGGAGCTGTGAGCCTAAAACAGCAGCAGAGCACTGCAGTGTTCACCCGGGGGGACACCATGTTGCACCCTGCTCTGCAGCGGCAAATCGCTGGAGGGGCAGTGAGCTCAGCCACACAGGCAGTGGACCGCTGATGATGTAAGGGGTCATGGAGGGGCTAAGTGAGACCTCACACTGGACAGGCAGGCCAGAGCTCAGGCCACAGTGGCATATGGGTGTGAAGGAGGTGAGGAAGCCGAGGAGGGTGGGGGAGAGGCCAAGCTGTCCAGTCTACTTCTCATGAGACCCTCAGCTGTCACAACACACACTTACCAGCCCTAATACTAAACACCCACGAGGGAGACAAGGGGGTAGCATCCTTCCTCCTTCCAACAGAAGAAGGAAAGGAAGCGTAAGCTCTGCTTCCTGCTGCTGTGATGGCAGAGGAATGCAGGGATCTGCTGCAGCCTCCTGCACCCTACCACCTCTGAGGCCAGGGTGCAAACCTGCTAATTATAGCCGCTGAAGGATGAGGGTCTGACCCAGATAGTTATTTTAGGTCCCGTGTGCAACGAGAGCAGAGAGGAGTCAGAGCGGGACAGGGGAAGGACAGCCTCGACTGTCAGAACCGACCGAGGTCACGCTGCCAAGTGTGCTCCCGTTTCCTCAGAGAGCCACAAGATCACCAGCATCCCAGCAGGAGCCCATCCTGATCATGGCTGACTGATATAATAATCATCTAGCACATCCATTATTTATGTGCACCAAAATACAAATTCACACAAAAATAACAGAGAATTGAATAAAAAAAATACTACAACCTTATTCCCACCTGATAATAATGTTCAAACATCAAGCAGTTATCTATTTCAAACAGATTTTTTATATTAAACCTACACAGCTGGAGCAGCTGCTCAGAAAATATAGGAACTGAGATATTTGCACCCTTTTCCCTTCTGACCCACGTCCCTAACTCGCCAGATATCCAGGCCATCCTCTCAGCTCTGTATGAGAAAAATCCCCCCCCCCTAATGTATTAGATTTCAAGTGATGGAAGGACGGACACATACTAATCCAAAATGTTTGTTCATTCTCTTCACTTTTCTGTACTTTACCAGATGTGAAAAATAACCCAAACCCACTTTCTTGCCTTTGAAGCCTACATAAACCATGAAATATTCAGCCATGTTTGGATCCTTGCTGTGACAGGAGGCCGCTCTAATCTATATGTTTTGGATTTTCCACGCTCTGAATAGGATTAATAACCAGAAACTGACCCTGTAAGCTGCTCCTCACAAACTTTGATACAGTTGCTGAACAAGGTGAGCTTAATGACTGATGGTAAAAGTTGGGAGCCGTCCTTTACTCATCTTCTGGCCAAGCCTGCCATATGACAGACAGGAAACTGCTGCTCCCCCCTCCCACACTCAGTCACCTCAGCTGGGACACGATCTGCTACTCTGTTTAGCATATATATAAACATAAGCACAAAGTAGTCTTGGTTTTGAATAAATAATAATAATATGCAGAAGTTTCACAGCTTGTTAAAAATGTTAACTACTGCTCCAAATTGAACAAAATATTCTTGCAAAACATTGGAGCAATTATACAGCATCTGTACCATGAATATTGATCATCTACTGTTAATCTTTCTGTATGACGTACATCAAAAAATACTATCAGATTTCTTTTTTTACATCTCGAAAGATAATTTCTTGGAAAAACAGTGGAGGATTTATTTGAAATCTTGATCATTTAAAGTTTTAACTAATAACTAGTTAAACCATCTGTACCAGAGGCTTAGCAAGCTGTGTTTCCCCACTCTGTTGTGGAAGGTTCTGATCTGTACTACTACTAAATGCAGGATGGTTGTGTTAAAAATAAGCCTGCCGGCGGAACCCGCGGCTCCGGCGTTACGCTGGCTGGGGGTTTTCCTCAGGCCGTCTCTCCTCCTCCCTTGGTGGAGTTCAGATTTCCTGGGTCGCCCCCCCCCGGGTGCCTTTGCTCTTGGGATCCCTTAGGACGTCTGGGGCTTTGGGTCCCCCGGTGCTCAACTCTGTGCTCTGGAGGGGCGCGTCTTCGGCTCTTCACAACCACTTTTGAGCATTTCTCATTTGCATAAACTTTACATGCACAACTTCACTCTCACAAACCACTACAGGTGCTTGGCTTGGGGTACTTAGAGATATACTTCCATACAGAAAGCCCATATTCTTATCTTCAGCTACCACAGTATACATGTCAGATTCATTAATACTACTTATACTTCAGCGATAGTACCAAGGTGTTACTTTATTGTATCTCTTATACTATATCAGTTGGTTTTGCTGTTCTTTTTACATCTCTTTGCAGGTGATGAAGCAGACTGAAGATGTTTTGTCGTTATCTCCCCTTTTATCTCCTCTTTCTTTCATCTTTTCTCCTTTTCTTTTCCTTTCCTGTTCTATTTACATTGCAGTGTCCATAATCTGTACTACTCCCCGCATGAATTATAATAAAGCTATTTATTTGCATAAATCAAGCCGAACACTATGGCGATAGCTGTACTGCTCCACATGTAAAAGTAAAATCTGTTGGGCTCTTTTTGCCATAAGAGACAATCATACTTACTGCCACATTGCCAGACAGGACACTTTTAAAAAAATTATATTAGCCTGTCTGATTCATAATAACAGAACCACCTGGTATGTGCAGCTGCATGATTTTAATGAAAAAACTAGATGAAACCAATATCACATCATCAACACTAAAAGCTCTCTTGTCCAGAGTCCATTTTCTTCACTGTAGTGCGGTAAAGTGGGAATTACTAGCTCCTATTCATGGGTCTAACTGCTAGCTGTAACCTTTCTCTTCCCTTTCGTATAGTAGCAAACCCACTTTAAGCATTTTACCGGCACCTAATACAGTTAATGTCTCACTCAATTTAAATGCAACAAGACCAAAAATTGAGTGCCTGTGTGATTTTGCAAAAGGACATTTTATAAATGACATAAAGTTACCCATTAATTAAGGACTGGGCGATTAGTAAAAGGCCTTCTGCAACAAATAAAAATAAAAGACCAAATAGGACGGCCTTATTTTGTAAATGAGGCATTTTTAAAACACAAAATAAAAACAAAAGACTTGTTTGTCCTGAAAAACAGCCAACATTTACCAACAGAGTTGTCTTCTATCACACCTAATATCCTAGCTGCTCTAGCTCTCCCTTCAAACCTGAGAGGCCATTGACAAAGGGTCCCAGTACCGCCCGTATCACTTAACCCCATGTCAAAACACAGAAGTAACACAAGCGCAGGCAGCAGGTCACGCTCCTGAGCTCATAAAGGAAAGAACAAGCTGGGAATAACACCCAGCACACAGGAGAGGCCCCTCGCTGAGGGGATACAGCTGGGAGCTGGAAAGCTGCCAGGTAGAGACAACCCTTCACCTCAGGGATCCACAGAGCAACACAGGAGAAACATGACTCGCCGGTTACAAAAGCTGGATAGACAAGGTAGGAAAAGTGTGGATTAAGAGATAAAAGAAAGGACTGGGTCTTACCATGGTGTCCCGTATATCCGGAATCCCTTTACTGTGACGTCCGAGTCCTGCAGGTACACACAGTTTGTGAGGAGCGACTGGACATTGTCAAAATCCTCCGGTTTGAGTTTGGAGACTGACGGGAATCTATAGTAATCCTGCTTGACCAGCTCTGCCATAAAGTCCTTATCAAAGGTCAGTTCGTGGTTACCAGCGATCACCACCTTGAATTCATATGGAAGGCCACCTGTGGAGACAAGAACAGACAGATATATGTTCCACCGCTTTTTCAGATTTGTTTTAAATAACAAAAACTAAAGGTCATGATTATCAAGTAAAATATGACTCAAAATGTTTTTCTTTTAAACTCAAACCTCCCGAGCAATGATGAGCACAAAAGAAAGTTGGTTTTATCACTAGATGAACAAAAGCCAATCTTCAGCTATATTAAAAAAGAGGTACAATTCTTTATCAACAGCAAGCAAAGAGTAAAGTCAAGGTTGACCTTGATTTAAATGACTGTTTCCATCCAACCACAAGTTACACAATCAAAAGACATGCAAGTTACCAGGGCAACCTGTGTTGTATATTATTAGTCAGAAGATTTTTAAATTCCTCACCAGAATCTTAATTTCCTAAGAGGAAAACTTTGAACCAATCTGACTGTAAGATCTGGTTGAATTGTTTCCGTAAAGTTTCTCGATATGACGTGTTGTAAATTCGCGCTTTATGAATAAACTGAATTGAAACTAAAGAAACTTTACTTTGTAAAAGGATTGTGTGTTTGGACAGTTGTTCATCTTAACAGGAGGGTTTATTTCTTAGTTTTGACTAAAAGGAATTGATGCATGTGATTATATGTCCACAGCTAATGTTTTGACAAAGACGTCTCACTCTTAGTTTTCAAAGGCTTTACTTCTTAAAATTGAAAGCCTTAGTTAAAATGTTAAAAGGTGCATATTTTTCGCCTGGCAGGTGAGTTTTTTACAAACGAAGGCATTTGTCCAAATATTTTTCACCAGCAGCTCTCCTCCTCTCCCTCAGCAGCTCCCCGTGTACCTAACCCCGAGCACGGATCACGACTGAAAAGAAAGTCAGATAATTGGAGGGAAAAATACCTTCAATTCAGACAGTGATAGAGGTTACAACCACAGCCAACGGTTCAGCTTGACCTCAACAGGCCACCGTCCATCTGTGTAGCTGTCAGGCAACGAGAAAAAAGCATGAACCCCAACCTGAACTAAATAGAGAAGAACATCTATTACAACTCTCATCCCCTCATCTTTCAACTTCCTCTCTGCCCTTTTCTCGCTCCTCTGTCAAGGTGATTTGTCCCGGTTCCCCGACGCCATCAAGAAAACCGACTTACTGCTTTATTCCAGCCGACTGAGCACTCGACCAAAGGTTCTGGCATTCATCACCTTCCTCTTATTCTGTATTTCTCTTTTTTTAACCTCTCCAAGCTTCTTTCTTTACCTTTTCTATATGGGTAAATTAGAGGTAATTTATTAGAAATTATAGAATAAATTTCAACATAAACCTGCCTGATGTGAGTTACAATAGCGTGCAAATCATTGCAATTTTAAATTAATCTGCAAGCAACCCTTGCCTCTAAACTATCTAGCCAAAGTACAGAAAACATAAACCTATATTATTGACTGGTGGGTTCAAACCAAAGACACAAAGAGAAAACACTTTATTTTTCTAGAAATGTGAGCAGCTTTGCTTATTCTCTAATCAAAAATAAAGGGGGGAAATATTAAGCTCTGTCTGGAAAAACCAGAGAGGGTCCAAAACCAGAAGAAAGTACATTTAGGTGCTCAATTTCTTTATTTAGGAGCAACTAAAATTATTACCAACAGTACAAAAGAAAATTTGATCTGACAGCTTGTTCTAGAAGTCTGTAAATCTGCAAATACCAGCATATGCTTCTCAATATTCTTGTTTTAATTCTATAAAAAGATAAATTACATATCAGCATAACCTACATGTCTGATACAGACACATCAATATTGTGATCTCTACCTAAGCAGGCATAAAAATAAATTCATGTTGACCATTTGGACCAGTGTAAAAACAGCAAGTGCTGACACTTCCTGCACAGGTGAAGCCCAAAAAAATTTAAAAGGCTGAAAGAAGAGGGCTGCAGCCATATCTTGATTAACTCTGCTTGCAAAAAAAAAATTAAATTAAAAAATAAAAATAAAAAACCTTGGTTCCTGGGATTTATGCTTTATGCAGTGGGATGGATTGTGCAACTTCTGGTAGGATGGAAGTAGAGACTGCATTATATATATTGTTATGGAGTCCTATGTGGGTTCTGTATTTCAGAAGAAACTGGTTGAAACTCAAATTAAACTGGTTTTATTATGCAGGTATCCATTATTAAAACCCTTTGTATATTTCCTGCAAAGATCAGACTAGTTCACCAAACAATGATCTGACGCTCACCCACTTCCACCCGAAGTGAGACAGACAAAAATCTCTAATCAGTGGAATATCCATCTGTCTGACAAATGAAGATTTAAGACAAATGTTGCATCTCATGTTCAGGATGACAATTGAAGACCCTGTCAGTCAGCATTTTTCATGCCATCATAAAAAGGTAAATAACAGCTTGTGTAATAAATGTATTAGGGCTGCAAGTAACAATTATTTAGCAAATCGATTAATCTGTTGATTCTTTTTTCTATTAATAATTGCTCCTTAAAGAAGATTTGTTTACTAAATTAAACCAGGTTAAATGAAAACTTTTCGACTTGAGGAGCTCTGGATAGAGAATTCTGAAAGTTATTTTGGAAAGAAAAACAGTTTGTTTTTCCTAAATGCAAAATATTTACATATTTCTTCACAGTTTTGGTATAATAACTGCTCTAAGTGAGTTGCTCTCTCAGCTAAAGGCAGGTTTTACAGTCTCTTCACTCCAGTTAATGATTAATCAATTGCTAAATTAGTTTACGACGATTATTTAAATAATTAATTAATTACAATTAATCCGATTAATTGTTTCAGTTCTACTTCTTATAATAAGTAATAAATACTTATTGCATGAGATCCCTAAGGTATTCACCTGCCTTCTTCATCCCTAACAGTTTAGGGTTCTACTAATATTAACAAGAGACTGTCCCAATCTTTGAAACATGATGGTTTAGCTGGGATTATAGTATGGCATTCAAAATGTACAAGCTGATATTTTTATACCTTTTAACTTATTTATGCTTTTAAAAAAAACAGTGGTAAATTATCTATACTGCTTCGTTTTTTATTCAAATAAAGGCATTTTTTTTTATTCATGTATTTCTATGTGTTTCTATCTGGCTTTGTCAGAACAATAGAATCCAACACTGGCTAATGTCTAGTGTGAACATAGAAAACCCCTTCAGCAGCAGGAATACTCATCAAACATGACATCATAAGATGTATTTTTTATGCATTTCTGTGTCAAGAACCAGAAAACTGCATGTGACTTGTGTTTGTATTGACGCATTTTCTAAGTTGATTTCAACTACTCTACAGTCAACAGAGAAATAATTAAAGATCGACATTTTTGGTTTTAAAAAGTCTAAATAATGGACCAATATGGTTCTTTCTTTTGCATTTCTGTAGAAATATATTTTGCTTTTAATGAGCTAAATGTTGGATCACGTCAAGTTTAGAAGCCATTAGAAGCAATGCCCGTTGGTCTAAATAAATAAGAAAGTTTTCCATGTAGGCAGGTAACGTAAAGTCATGTCGATTTTATAACATATTCTCAGTTAAAATAATTGACTTGTTTCATGATCATTTTCTATTAAAATCCACCCAGATTATGAAGTTTGGATGACAGGATGATACCCTTTGCTTTATTTTTTCGGTCAGCCCCTTCGCTCTATATTGCTTTGGTCAGTAATAACTGCGGGTTATGATGCAAGGCAAAAGGGAAAATTGAATAAAATGCTCAATAAAGAGTCCAATAAGACCTATATGTTGAGCAAAATCCATTTTGATTTACAATGACACAAGAACAAAAAGTGATGAGAGTCTGCTGCTTTATTCTCCAGGTGGCCAAATTGAACAAAAACTAATAGAAACTGAGGAAATATAAAACAGGTTCCACATAAAAACACACAGGGTCAATAAATATGAGATCCACCATATCCAACTTGAGAGCGAAATGTTGGAAATGAAAGAATAACGGCTCTCTGGTCTACAGGTTTCATTTCTGCTCCTCTAAATTAGTTCTTGTTGCATCTGAGGATCATAAATTGCAGTATAACGTTAAATGAAAAAGCAGTCCCCCAACACACTAACTGAATCATGCTTCCATTTTCACACACATCAGCCAGAACTGCCTCATTTTCTCTGCCACCACCATCTCCATTACTCCACAGGGCCTTTCCACGGATCCTTATCACCAGTGAAAAGTCTCAGAGGTTTGATAGAGTGATCCAGCTGCAACTTTCTCTCACACAGGACAAAATAGAGAGGAAAAGATCTGCAGAACATGAACTTGAGAAGTGTTTAACCACAACTCAAGAACAAGTAGACAGACGCTAAAACACTGCGTCAATTAGAAAGTTTTACCGTCGGCGCACAACTAAAAATACTCTACAGGCCGCTAAAAAAGATCCACATATTCTACATGAAATCACGCGCGTTAAAGAGGTGACAATCTAAGAAAATTAATCTGTCCTCTCTCCTCACACATATTCCAATCAATCCTGGAGGAAATGTGACAAAAACAAATCAAATAAGGATTTTATATTTAGATCAAAAAACAGAGGGAAAGAAAAAAAAAATACATTAAGACGTCAAACACTTAAGTGTGTACCTAGAGGTAATTTTCTACCTACGTTATAAGACTTAGAAAAGTCATAACTTGTTAAATAAAACCAAACTTATTACAAACTAAAGGCTGATTTAACTATTGGAGAATAATAATCACATCTGAAGTTATAAATGTGTTTAAAACTAGTAGAAAAAGGCTAACTTGGTGGGCTCTAATAATGGCTACTTCTTTTAACACACAAAATGAGAGATGAGTGAAAGAGCTCTGTTGGACTCTAAAAGGGATCAGAGGCAGAGCTGTTATCATCAGATAAGCCAGGTCACGGGAAGCTTACTCCTCTTTATCGATCTCCAATGATCTCCTCCAAGAGGCCAAAGGGAGTCAATCTTACAGACAAACTGTTTGTCTCCTCTGGAGTTTTTGAGACACTGAGGGAGAAACAAACCGTTCAGAAAAGCTTGATGTCTGACAGGAAATATTGCAGGTTGAGCCTTTTTAGTTTCAGGACTTTTAGTGGTGTTTCCTTTTGTCTGCAGAAAATGCATGGGATCTGGTTAACTCAAGAGGAATTCCTATTCCTGGAACTTTTTCCACATGTTATTACTATGTTTTGTTGTACTTTTTAATTATAGAATAAATCAAGTATTTTTTATTCTACATGGACTCTTAGCTTGACCCTTTTTGGCCTGTGTGGCAAAACATCTATACTCCAATGGCTGTGAGGGTTAGAAATATTTATTAAAAGTACTGTACATCATATTTTTACTGCATTGTGTTTAGTCGGAAAGCATAGATGGGCTCAAATGCATCTAAAGCAAATATTGATACAAAGGGTCAAAATCCATAATTGTATTCAGCTAAATTAGGCTAGAAACTAAAAAAACACGACAGTCCAGAGTTTGCTTTTCATTCGATCTTAATATTTCAGTGATGTGCTTTGAGTTGGCAACAAAAACCAGCAGTAATGTGCGTTTCAAATGTGTTGTTCGGTCACAAATTATGTGTGAACACATTTTAAAGATCTGAATAGCTGGAAACTTCAGCTAAAGTGCTGAACGTCTTCCTCTATTGTCCATAAAGTTTTCTGTATTCATTCAGCAGATGAAATGAGGAACAAAGGAAAAAAGGGTCATTTATAAAATCCTGTATGAGCTGCAGACTCTTTTCTGTCTGAGATGTTAGTTATGTAAGAGTATTTAAAAATGTCATGGCATGATGCATTTAATCAGACTTAAGTTTATACTTAAGGTCACTCCAAAACCTTTACTGCATTTTGTATCATTTGTTTTTGTTCATTTATTTTATCCTTTTCTGTCACACAGATGTCATTTTTTTTTGGCTTGTTTTTGAACGTTGTTCTGCTCCATAACTCAAGGTCAGACGCCGATGTTCTGAAATCCTCGGCCATCAATTTTGGCACACTGTCCAGGTTATTAAGCAGAAGAGCAGGTCCAAACCATTACACTGCCTCCACTGTGCTCTTTGGGTGCCTTTAGTTAAATCATGAACTGTGACCTTAACTGGTAGAGGTCAGGGGAGCAGCACTTTAAACGAGTTCTGGGTCTTTTAGTTTCCTCCCAGATTAGTCATTGATCCACCCTTAGGGTGGTTTTTGGGTAAATGGCTCTTATGGGAGAGTTCCCCTCCATGTCCCGTTTTCTCCATTTGTGGATAGCGATTCTGATTATGGGGAGTCCAAAAGAACGAGGAATTATTTTCAAACACTAAACAGACTCATAGATGATTGTTTTTTTTTTGTTTTTATTTTATTTTTTTTTATTTCCAAGCGGTTTAAGCCTTCTTCATGTCATCAGAAGGTTCTATGTAAATAATTTCTTGGTTTTGCAGGTTTGGCTGTAAAAAATACTGGGAGTTGCCAATAAAATTAAACCAAACAATTAACCACATTTACTGGAAATGGTTCTCAATTTTCATACATTAACAAGAGGAAAAATAACTTGTCTTGTTTTTTATTCAAAAATGTTCTAAGTTAACCTTTACCTGGTTGTATAATTGAACTATCTGAAGGGGCAAGATATGTTTTCTCAGCATTGTTACTTGAGGTTGGATCAAAGATAAAAGTAAACATTTAGACTGGATTATACTGCAGGCCTGGTGTGAAGAAGATTTGATCTTTTTCATTTTTGGGATGAAACTGGGTCAGTTTTACCACTGAGACTGCTGGGAATTAGCAACAGAGAACCCTCTGAAGTGTTTTTTTTTTCTTGATTCAGGAAAACATTCACAGCGACCCTAAAAATCAAAAGGGTGCAACTCTTTGATACATGCTGTATCCGTTTTAAAGCAGAGTCCCTTTACGCCAGTCTCAGACCGAATACTCTGCTGCTGCTGCTGTGCAGGCACTCCCACTGAAAGCAGTGAAGCCTGGCTCTCTTGCGACTCCGACTGCAGGAACGACGTTCGAGAAAGTAGAACTTTACGTAGGTCAATGCATTTTCTGGGAGTTTCATGGCAAAAGCCTTAATCTGTGGACATAAATATCCTTTTCATTCTCCAAAAGCCTCTTCATTTCCTTGTCTTTCTGTTTGCCTTTTTGTTTTCCCTCATCAATTTAGTCCAGGTGGATTTTACTCTGAAATTCAGACTTTTATAAACCAAGTTTACCTGTTTGGTTTGTCAATTCAGGAGTTTGATGTGGGGAATACTGCAGCGTCTGGCCAAACCTCCTAACACAATCACCGGACGGTCTCGATAATCACAACAGCACTGCACCGATTTGAGCTAACACGCAGTTTTTAATTATTCGGGTTTGTTGCAGCACCCAAACTGCATTATGAGCAAGCCCTGGCATTAACCAGATTTAAATGCTCTTGGTATTAAATATCCTTAGTCCAAAATAAAATGTTTTTAAGAAAATCAAAGCAATAAATCTAAAGGTTCAGGTGAAGAATTATATGTGGAAAGCGGCTGCTTCTTTGAATCATCATCAGCTATTATTGCTCTGTTCCTCTGTGTGATTATTATACACTAAAGGCTCAAAGGTTCAAATTTTTTTTTTTTTCCTGACTTTAATTTCCTGGTTAATAAAAGTCAGAGTCTGGGGTGTAAGTTTGTGTTAAAGTTTAAATGCTTACCATATATTTACAGTACAGACTGTAAGGCTACAACAGGTGAAAAAAAACAAAACCCTGAAAATAGTTTTTTATTCTGAGTTTTATTAGCCTGAGTGAAACTAATGAAAATGAACCACTTATGGGGTCAATCACAAGTTCATTTCACAATAGTTAAACTTGGTTTAGTTTGCTATTTTCCCTTATTATGTCAATTAAAATGCCTTTTAGGTGTAAACGGGGTATAATTGTGTGATATAAAATATGTGTAATCATATGCAAAATAAATATAACAGAAATTAAAAGCATAAGAAATCCTTTTTTTAAATCCCAGAGTATATTAGTGAGAATCTATGTGTTTATTTATCATTTTTATTATAGGATTGTTTCTTTGCCACAGTTCAGGAGACACAAAGAGATAAAATACCCCACCCAGCTCCCACCCACAGCACGGGGCCAGAGGGAGGGGTCAAAGGTTAACTGAAGCTGGGTGTAAGGTCAGCAGGGTTAAACTGGACACTTTAGCAGACCAGCTGTCTGGGTCAACAGGGAAAGGAGTTCTTGTGTGGTCTGGCAACCAGTAAGACTCACAATGCGTCTTATTCCTGTGGCTCTTCCTTCTGCTCAATACAGACAATGCCCAATAAAATGTGTGTGTTTGAGGGTGTGTGTGGTATGTGTGCGTTTTAACTTGCAGGTAGGAGTGTGTTTGTTTGTTACTCGCTTTCTTACCTAGCCAGTCGTTGAACTTCTTGACCTCAGACGGTAGGCCGAGCTCTGTGAAGTCACCCATGTGGAGCAGCACGTCGCCGTAGGGCATCTGGATGCCATCTGTACGCGAGTGTGTGTCTGAAACGCACACAAACCTGGTGTGTCCCGCCGGCTTGGGAGTGTCATAAGGAATTGGGTCTACCCTAGAGAGGACAGAGGAGAAGAGTGTTGAGAAAGGACACAGGAGAGTGGGGCTTAGTTTCCAAATTAGATTCATCTTTCTAAATATTTACAGAATTCTTAAGGAAGTCAAAATACATATTAACAAGGAGACTGAAGGGCAGGAAGAGGGATGGACCGATGGACAGGCTGGCAGACGGATGTACACACAAACTGATAAACTGGCACCTCTGGACAGATCGATGAATAAATGCATCAAAGGATGGATGGATCAATGAAAAAAAATTTAAAGTTTCCTCTGTAGTTATCCAGCTATGAACAATTCGCTGATCAGATTCTAGACTTTCTACATTTATTAAATTCAGATCTACAGGCTTTGCTCTATTAGTTCATAAATCGAGGCTGGACATTTGACAAATTCAAGGATAGAAAAAATAAAAATTACTTCAACTATTAAGAAAACTTTTCTTTTTTTTTTACGTATAATGTTAAATTATCAAATTATTGAAAGTATGTTCGCTGTGGCTGCTTATTTTTCTGCCATTTCTGCCCTCATTTCACATCCTCATTTTTTTCCCCCAACAATGACGGTCTTGGCCGCAATTACAATTAGGAAAGACATGTGAAGTTAAACAGCATGATGCAGAAAAACAGGACACTTTGTTGTGTAAAAATAAATCTAACATTCAAGAGTAAAATGCATCTCAGCGACCAAAATCCATCTCAGGAAAAATAATAGACATTTCAACCACTAATCTGGCTGATTAGTGCTCACAGGAAGGGCAAGGCTTTTAATTTTTTCCTGGCATAAAATTGGCAAAACAGACAGTGAATCAAAACATGGCGTGTACTTTCAATCCATTATCTGAAGAAAAAAGAAAAACTCAAGCCAGTGTAAAAAAAAAAAAAAAGCTTTTTAATGGAGGCTTTTTTTGTTTGCAGGGGGGAAAAAAGGCAATGGCAACCTTACGCCGTTTCAGGCTGAAAGCAGAGAGAAAAAAAAAAAAGCATCTCGACTGTAATTGAAGTCTACAACGTGCAATTCCTCCAACACTCTGCCTCTACGCCATTATTTCATTAGAAGGGATGTCACTCTGCTGACAAAAATCAGACATATAATCAACCCTGCAATCTCTGCCGTGACGAGCTCACACAAACACACACCGAGTTAACTCTAATATGCACCCAAAGATGGCAGAGAAACAAGCGGATGAGATCCAAAGAGTTCAGACTGAGGAAGGCCATTAAAAGACACAAAATAAGACACTTTTCTGCAGAGGAACACATCTTACATCCAAAGATTGCAGCAGAAACTTAATTCTGGATCCAATTTTCACATTTCTATAGTATATTCTGAAGCCTAGTATACTTGAAAAACTAACAGGAAGCAGATTCTTACAAAATGGTGAACGTGCCATGTTTAAAGATTGCAGTAACTGATGGAAAACTGATTCAAGTCTGCAAAAAACAGCTATGATGTTCATCCAGCATGTGGAGTCCTTCATTTGTGGGAAGCCCAGAATTGTACAAGTTAAAAGTCAATAGTTTCTTTGAGCTACAAGAGAGTCCAGTAATTTCCCTAAAATGTTTGCAACAAATGAGGACATAATATTTAGAAATCCAATATGTGTCTAAAAGATAAAATATCAAAGGTAAAATGTTAGTTTTACAAGAAACCGAATGAGAATGAAGCAGAATTGAGACTTGGGGGTTATTTTTGTAATGTCAATAATGAAAGAAAAATCAACAATAACTGGGCAAATTAGAGGAAAAGGTATGTTGATTAGTGTAAAATTAATGAAATACTAATAATAAAAAAAATTACTTGTATAAAAACAGTTCAATAAAGTGCAATACAACAGTAATAAGTGTGGAGACTGAACAAGAAAGATAATAGTGTTCAAGTTAGTTTGTGTTTCTCAGAGCCAATGTTTTTACTGAGGAAGACAAAACAACTTCCAAACAGAGAAAGCTCTGCATAAACATTTTAAACAATGACATGGAGACTCCTGCAGATTCAACAACTGTCCAACAGTGGGAAGGGTTAATTTTCTGCATGATCATGACATAAGATGCCGACTTTTGAACTTGATAACAGATTTTAGTAAAAGGCCTTTTCACAGCTTTATTAAACATCCCAAATGAATCTAGATCTGTTGAAACCGTGAATGTGTGACGTTTCCAACTCTCAAATCGGAACCGATTCTTCAAAGCAAAGTTTGTGAACAGCATTTATAAACATATTTAACTCACAGATAAAATCTATGTTTTACTGCTTGGATTGGCATTTGCACCCTCTCAAAATGAAGAACACAGGTTCAATATAAAATAATGGGAAGTTGGAATAAAGGAAAAAAAGCTGGGAAATAATTCTTCTTTAATTATCCAATGTACAAGTATCTGTAAGTTCCTCCTTAAAAAACCAACCAAAAAAAACTGAATAATGAGGGTAAAATGTTACAGTCATGAGATGAAATACACTATTTAAAGAAAAGACTATAAGAATATTTAGAAGTTTAACGTTTTTCTTAAAGAAAATAGAATAAGTAATACTGTCTGTGAAATCAAACATTTTCTGCACCTGATTTAACTTTTCTTACTTTTAAAAACTTACTTTTACTTTTATAAACCAGCAAAACAAAACCATGTTGATACTTTTCCAAACCTGTAGAACTGTGCATAAACCTCCTGGATTTTTAAAAGTTTTGTCCTGTGTGTTGGGAAGAGGATGAATAATTGCAACAAATAATTGTTAATTTTCATATCATATTTTTTAGTTATTATGGAAGAAAGTGCTTCCTTACCGATTGTTCACCTTTTGTCAATGAACTGACTTCAAACTAATAATCTGGTGGCTGGAAGATTAATTTGTCTAAATGAAAACTGGAAAGCAAAGTTTACATTAGGGATGTCCAGATCCGATATTAATATCGGATATCGGTCCAATATTACTAACTAATATCGGATTTTATTGGCTGGCATATAAAAACTCTGATATTTTACTGCTGACTTGTTTTTCCCTGTTTTAGTAATATTACTCAATCAAGTCTTTCCTAACATTCCACTGTAATAAATATGTGATAGAACGAGTATGATTCATGCTAATATTGTTTCGAGTCAATATTGGTATCGTATCTGAAATGAAAAAGTTGTATATAACTGTAATTTTCAGTAAATTCAATAACAAAAGTATCCAAATATTTATTTATCACAGACCTGTTTATGTAAAACCTTTTATCATAGCAGAATCATTAGGAAACTATCTTGCGTTTTCAAAGTGACTCGGCATGTTCACTCTCATTTTCCTTTTTCGTGTTGCATTCTTTTCATATTCAGAATGGGGACGTTTAGATTTCTACTGCATTTTATGCCACTGTCCGCAGTGAGACCAGGGTGCAGCGTTTAAACTCACTTTTGTCGTACCCCCTCAAAACCTGTCTGCCACTCGCTCAACCCTGATAAACTCTGCTCTCCAACCTGTGCTCTCCTGCTTCAGTCCTGTAATTAATGCGCTACACAACCTTTCTGCATGCTGGCTGTGCCGTTTGCTTGCAATCCTTTTCCCCCCACTGCTGGATGTGCCATTTGTGGCATCATAGCGCGTCTTGACCATGTTGTTTTGGTGTTAAATGTCTATCAACCGAAAAACCTAAAATGCACTTTTTGGTCTTTTTTTTATCAATGCATCACCCATTAAATATGTAATATTTGTAATCCTTGTTCAATAAAGCCTGTATGCCTCTTGCATTTTCTCCTTTGCAGCTGCACACAGTCCACCATCTGTATTCACATGAAGTGTTTGTGTTTTACACTACTAAGAAACAGCTTTGCTTTGTTCTTGCACACTGGTACGGAGCAGGCATGCATGGCATATTAGGAAATCAGGAAAATGGAGAACTAGCAGAGGAGATAATGATATTTACAACCGACAGTCTGCAACAAACTGGGCTCTGTGCTCGTACGGGCATAAACGTGCACGCTCACATTACTCCAACCCAGGCAGACTGGCACATACATTGGAGCGAAGCTGCTGATTAGATCTGGTGCTCTGTGGTGCCTGGATGCAGAGCAGTTCTAAAGGACTCCACAGTTCTCTTCAAGGAGGAGGCTTGAATGCCGGACCTCAAGGGATGAAAAAAACAGGCACAAACATGCTCATGTATATAGTCATAACTTATATCCACACAGACATGCATATTAAAACAGAGGCAGGAAAAAGACTAGCTTCTTCTCCTGCACTCTCCTTTGAGATTTAATCCACCCAGAGAATGTAAGTAAATACCAGCAACCCCTATCAATTAGAGCAAGTTCAGGCCAAGAAGCCTTCATGATGGTAATGCATTAGTCTCTCTCACACGCAACGCTAAAACACAGAGAGCTCAAGCCTTTCCTGTTAACATACGACTGTAACAACTTGATTGGAAATGTATACAGGAGTTCAGAAGTTCAGTGGTGCAGCAGAGGCCTGTGATCTTTTGTAAACGGAGACAGTGAAAATGAAAAAGTCCTCCTGGGCTCCAGCAGCAGGTAAATGAATATCCCCCCTTGACAGACAGAACTGTGTTAGCATGACGGTTCGCGTTAGAATGCCGAGCTTTGCTGTGACACGGGCAGGAAAGACTGCAGAGGGGAGAGATGGAGGGGGAGGGATGCTAATTCGTCTGAGCGAGGGCAGGGGTACACTCTGAAACTCTCCAATCCACCATGACACCAGAGCACACACACAACAGAGGGCTTTCCTTGCAGAAGTATCTGTTTAAGTTCTGCTTTTCCATGCTTTAGCAGAGGAACATGGGGGCTTAAACTTTTGCTAACCTTCAGCTGCAACACCTCAGCAGAAATTTGACACATTTTCATTCAACTCCACTAAATTCCCATTTACTGTGCAAGCAAAACTAAAGTTTATGTATTTTAGCTTGATCCGAACTTTCACCTCCATCATTTCTGTGGTTTGTCTTTACTAGTTCCTGCTGCTTTAGGTATTTTTCTGCTTCCAAAAACCTGACTAAAATAAATGGATTAT